TTGCCAAATTGGCTATATATAATAAACTATACTTAATATGAGTAAAAAATTATAGTATATTATATATTCTGTATTCAAGGAAACCACTTAGATTTGCCCAGCTAATGCAATACAAGTCACCAGCATAATGAAAGGACTTTGCTTATAGGCACATAGCTAAAAGCCAATATACTCACTTTTCACCTGGTAACGAGCATAGCGAACCATAAGATACAATGCCGCAGCCGGCATTCAAATAAACAAGTAAGTTTGCCAAGCAAGCAAATAGTACGGGAAATAAACAAACTAACTGCAACCTCCTCAATGGTGACCACATACTAAGAGAGTTCAATGAACTACGCAAATTGCCACGATATTATTTAATGATTCGATATATCTCATATACAACTTAAGGTTAATGATTTTTTCAGTTCATATGAATATTTGCGAGTCGAGTAAGTCAAATGCACAATATATACAAGTGTGTGTGAGTGTGTGTTTGTAAACTTATTTACCTGCCCCAACACGCTTTGTAAATTGTTTATACGAGTGACGCATTGGCGAGTCTAGTCTACGCGTTTCTAGCACTCGCCAGCTCTCAGATACATTTGTATCTATGTATCTGTGCAGTGCATTGCACGGCTGTAGCATTGAATGCAATGCTCGAACATGCTTTTTTTTCTCATTTTTAGCCTCGTTCGCTTTTATGTTAATGTCCCATTAAACCGGAACCGGAATGAAACTCAAAACGTATGCTGAGCATAAGTTTTATAGTTATAAATAGTAAAAAATATCTTTCCCAATCATAGTTTGGATCGTTTTTTTTTAAAGAAAGACGGAAGTTTATTTAAGTATATTAAATTAAAATATTTAGAAGTGAATTTTGAAATATTATATTAAATTATTTGTTTTACTTGCGACTTTCTTCTTTCTTCTATGAAATCTGTAGAAGGTTCTAAGAAAATAATCAAAGGAACAGCCTAAACATTTGCTTCTATTTTTGTTTATTTTTATTGACTGGTCTTAATACTCACTGGTTTTAATAATAATAACATTAATATTGAAATGTCAGTAAACCTGTTTACTACTTGAACTTAGAATGTATTTAATCTAAGCAAACAAAACTTAAAAACTCAATTTGCTGCTCGCCTCTGTCAATAGCTGAGCAAACAGATTTCAGACATATAAGCAAACATTGTGGCTAGTCTCGTCTGGATTGCTGCAGACTATAATTAGAGCCTCATTCCGAAAAAATAACTGAAATATATTTACATATATATCATTAGTTTGTCCATTGATAAGACCACGAACTGTTCGCTCGACTATGGACATGACGCGCAGAAGAGTTTGTTTTTTAGGTCTCGGCTGTTACATTGTTCGGCGAGGAGTGGGCTCGCTTATCAGCAGACACAATGGGCCGCTATGAGCGATATCATAATTACGAGCAGACGTCGCGTCTCTGCGATGTCAATGAAACAGATTTTTCAGATTCTCAAACTATTTGCTCTGGGTGTTTACTTAGGCGTTACTCTGCTCCACTCGATCGAGGGTGTCGATCGAACACAAGTGAAAAACGTGATCGGCTCGTGTTCGTGGCTTCGACCAAACCACAAACAAGGCCCGCGTCTTTAAATAGATGTAGACTTGCGACGCTTAATTGTATACATTCATATAAACATATACATATAGACATATGGACGTATATATTTGCATAATAAGTCGCATAATTAAGTTTCGAGCGAGAGCTACAATGGAAAATTACGAGGCAATATTACGCGATGCAAAACAGAAGCAAAACTGCAAAAAATAACACACATATTAATCGATCGACGATTATATTTTCTAAGCGCCTATTCCATTGACCCTCACGCCAACGATAACCGTTATTTGAAATGATTAAACGGCATTACATACACGACGCTAATGCGAATTGAATGCATGTAGTCGTAACCGATTCCTTTAGCTATTCAAATCGATTTCGAGAGAGAGGAAGATCTGTTGCCAAATAATTGATCACGCCGCGATCAGGTGCTCTAGGTCAGTTACGGCATGATTTTCCTCGGCCAAAAATAAATGCAGCTATATTTATGAATTCTGTGTTTAGTTTATGCTGCGCAGTTTATCAGCTACCCTTGCGCCCGCCCCAACTTGACCTCAGATCTCGCGCTCTGCCTGCATTGATAAGAGCTGATAGGCGTCAAGTCACACGCCTCGCTTCTAAATTTAAACTTTCGGGCGGGCATCGAGTATACGTTACAGTTTTACACAGTTCCACAGCTAAACAAGCTCTAGGTACGCCCATTTTTTAATAGACTACATAATCACTGACTATCACCTCACTAATCTCACTAATGGCGCCGACGATGTTGCTGATATTGACGGCTCGGCTGATTTCATCAGCAGGTTGTTGAGCGTTCAGGTCTAGACCCTTTGCCAGACAACGTGGACATTATGTTTGCAATATTTTATATTTTTTCTATTCACTAAAATTGAATTGGCTCTGTCGAGGGCACAACGTGGCTCTTGTTTGATTCCAGCGAAGAAATGTGTGTTAACATCGGTTACTGGCTGCCATTCACGCAGTCAGAGAGTGTTACCCGGCTCGAAAAATTATCAAATATCAATATCAAAGTATATTGGAGTTCTGCGAACAACCCTATGTATGATGTATATGCAGATACAGATATACATACATAGATGTATAATCGATTTCTTTTGGATTATTATAATATTTTGCCGCCTTCAAAGTGGTATTTCGATTAACTTTCTTCCTCCTTGTCTCTTGCTTTTATAGTACTTAAACTAGTTTTAAGCTAATATCTGTACTATGGCATATCAAGTGGATCTGTGTCCCACACGCAGGCCAAAACTGGAAAGTCGTCGATTAAATAATGCATCGCATCCGCTGTGCGTCTAAGGGTCTATTCACATACATACATACATTCATACGTATAACAGAAATAGACAACCAGCTGGCTTGGCTATATTATATATGATATTTGCAGAGCTTCAAGTGTACTTCATGGCCAACGCTTCAAAGGGCACTGCACCAGTAGAGAGACAGAGAGATAGAGAAAGGGAGATCAAGATCGGGCTGCATATAGGAATGATATATAGGCGAATGCTGATGAAGTGGCCGGAAAAAAATGCGGCATGCGACGCGAATCCAGAAACGATGCATGGCTAAACCGGCTTCCAGCCAAGGCGATCGGGTGGTGGTCAGGAAGGAGAGGAGACTAGGTGAACAAGTGCCAGACACACAGACAGCCAGACAGCCAGCTAGATAGCTAGCTTAATAGCCAGCCAGCCAGTCAGCCGGCCGGCCGGCTTGTGCACTCTGGAACCAGACTGCTGATGCTGTGGGGCTCGAAAGCAAATAAGTTGCTTGGACTTGGGGCGGCGTGTGCGACACCCCTCGAAAGTGGCACAGTGGTTACAGATCAATCGAAACACTTGAGCAAATAACTTGTTAGAGCCCTCCTCATGAAACTCACCAAAACTGCATTATCATTAGAGACTTGAAAGATCACGCATCGTGAGAGCATTTTCGTCGACTACCTAGGCACGACTAAGACCTAGGCCGCCATTTCTGAATGTCAACGAGTCACGCACGCCATACCCATACATACATGCAGACACACACATATTCACGCTATGTCACTTTCTATGCACTGCAACAAGAAATAGATTCAGTCCCCGACGATGCGTGGCAGAGACCGTCGAAAATTTCAGAGAGTTGTCGTCGTCATCTATGCTTCGAATGATGTGGGTACTTTAAATCACGAAATGGAACGCTCCCAAGTCATTTTAAATGGAATTTTAAGGGAAGTACTGGACAATTGTGATTCAACAGTTAGCTCATATGAACACAAAGTAACAGTACTTGTGATTAAGTGCATGATATATTTAATTGAATTTATAAATAGAATTTGTACTCCTCAAAATGCATGTTTGAAGTTTATTTTAATTTAAACGTATTCCAGGTGTATGTTAATTTAGTTGTTCAAATTTTAAGCACTACGATTGTGTCATGCACGTAGCACAATCAATATGCCAGCTGCATTTAAACGTAGCGCATGAGAAAGTCGATGAAAAGAGAAGATTACGAAGCGACAACTTTTACACAATTCCCCCAAAAAAGCATAATTGATTTAGAGCTGTCGACTCGACAGAGACAACGTAAAACAAACATAAATTGCATAAAGAAAAGCGTAGGCCGTAAAGGTGTTTGGGTTACACGATTGCAGCCAACTATGTATGTATGTTTGAAGGTATGTATGTATAATCCCCCAGACCTTACAAAGGAAAACCACTCGAACCATTGGAACGCCAGCAAGTAGTTGTGGGCACTCAAACGATTGAGTGGGTACTCGTTCGGTGAGTTTTGGTTTGTTGTTTTTTTATCGACCTGGCGAAAGGATGAAAGAGCAAAGTAAATGAAACGTATTGAAGAAAAAAGCAAAACAGCTGGCTACAAACTGCAGACGTAGGCACTCTTAATAATATGGAAAGTTGTTTGACATAACGACTAAATGTGTTGCGATGTGTGTGAATAGTGGCACGAGTGATCGTATTTATTAATAAAACAACAAATTTCGAAAACGAGCGCACGAGCTAATGATCGTTGCTGCTCGCTGATCATGTCCATTCAGCCTGACTGATTGACTGAGTGACTTTGGCTCTGTGGCGGCGCCTAGCCTGACGAAAATCGCTGTCAAACCAAACGAATCAAACTAAACTAAACTAAACTGGACGCCAGGGCAACAACTGTAAAAGCAGCAGCAACAACAACAGCAACTACATATAGCTGCACTGTCATTAAAATGCAGCCACACGCTTACAGCGAGAATAACGGACACAGTGAGAGAGGGCGGCAGAGGCTGTTAATGAGAGCAAGAGAGAGCGAGCGCTTTCCAGAGCATACGACGACAGCGCTGAGCGCTCAGCGCTCTCTGGGATCGCAGTGGTTGGTTGGGTAGGCCCGACCGCCAGTCTTGGCGGCGGGCTGCTCTAACAACATCAGTTATTCGTCTTTGAGTCGTCGAGGCGAACGGTACTCACAGTCGGAGTGCAACTGGCAATAACAAAACGCGATGCGGTCCTAATTGCTCGTGTCGTTGAAACCACAAATAAATTACTAAAAATAAAAATAACATAACATCAGATATAACTTAAGAAGAAAAACGCGCGAATTCTTACTTCCTACAGAATAGGGGGAAATAATTCAATAATTTTAAATTATTGTTAATCCGTTTTGTCGTTTTGTTTTGTGCGGTGCTGCCAAAATTGTGTGTGCCAGTGTGTTGAAAATTTGAAATTTTTTATAAAAATAAATACAAATTTTTATCTTTACACAACCCAAAATTCATTGTCTGACGCGCGTTGCCAAACCCATGAACAGCGCGCGTGATGCACATATGAAAAGAAATCTCTAAGAAGAAGTTGGGCTAAAAAAGAAAAGTGATACCAGAAAAAGTTCCTTAATACAGAGAGATTGATATATATAAACGGAGAGTAGGAGAAGAAGACACAGAGAGTGCGAGGAAAAGAGAGAGAAGGAACGAGAGCGCAATACACAACAAAGTCATAAAAAAGCAACGGTAAGTTTTCGAGGCAATGCCTATGTTGATCAGCAGCTCACTGAAACATAAACAAACTGTATAAAGTATACAAATATTGCCATAAAATAATAAATATTCCATTGCATTCCTAATTAGAATCGCTTTTGTAAACGTTCGCATTCAAGCATTTTGTTTATAGCTAATTCCAATTAACATTTTACGCTTCGGTTAAGATTCTTACCTTATCAATTTCTGTTTTAATTTTGCAGGCCCTGCTGCTAATTACAATCAATCAGAGTTCCTTGTTAGAGATCAATAGAGAAAATCCATCTATAAAATGATTTCGCACAGTCCACCTATATTCAGTCACAGTCCACCCGTTAGTTTCCTAGCGGACTATATGAGCGGACATCAACGTCAACCCCTGAAGTAAGTTTCATAAAATAAAATACAAATATATTTTCGGAATATGAAAGGAAATTGGGTTGACTAATTGAATTCAATTGAATACACGAGATTCGGCAACGAATCAAAATTCAATTGTTTTTAATTATATTTATTTATTCTTTAATTTTATTCTTTTTTTTTTGTGAACAGTATAGGTACACCTAAAAATAATTCTCCATTTTGCTAAAACCCTATAAACGAAAACTTTCTCCGTCTTCGAGCTAGCCTCACTTCTTAAATATAAATTGTGGAATTTCTCTTATCATTAGATAGCGAAAAATATTTTCTGATATATTCCAAATTTTGCCTACGTGTCTTACGGAAAAAAACTGAATGAATGTTAAATTGATTAAGTAAATCTCTGATAAATGGTGTATTACAAAATAAAAATGAAATTCTTTGAGGTCTAAAATATAGATTAAATTACATAACATACATAATCAATAATGAATCGGAAAATGTGCGATATTATTTATGACATCAGTAAGACCTACCATAAAAAAAGTAATACCCAAGTGAAATACATTTTAAAGATAATATAAACAGAAATGCAAGGAAATCGTTTATAGATATACCCATGTATTTATCTATAATCTGGAATGAAACTGTGCTAAAAGCTTGACGTCTCCATTTTGACAGACTCAATAAAGCCGTTACAAAATACCTTCATTCCTAAAATACAATATAAACAATGAGCGCGATTGCCTTATGCAGTATTTAAAGTAAATATGGATGTTTACCTTTCAGTCTCTGTCTGATTATTCATATGGATAAATATTGATACTTCACTTATACAATACATAGAAGTATTACTAAGGTCGGATCAACGACGGACTTTAGTTTTCGTTACGCCATAAGGTACTGCAACAGGTGCAAAAGGGTTAATGAAATTTCCTCCATACAGATAGGACTCAGTGCGAATGTACCGAAAATAAAATAAAATTATGTTTGGCTATGCCTCGGTTGACAACAGCATTTAAAAAAGCATTCTATATCAAGGCAATGGCATAATCAAAACAAACTTTTATTTTTTTGCCCAGATTTCGAGAGCAAAACTTGACAGCGAGAATTTCGCTTGAGTAAAAAAATAGCAGTTTTATGAGAGAGGGAAATTTACTGGTTCCCAACTGTTTGAGGGGGTCTGTGGAGCAATTGCTTCGAACCATGCTTGATCGTCGGCTAGAAGCTTTATTTGCTGCGCAGACATTTGTTGCATCAATCAGCTGACATTTTTTAATAGCTATACAGCGATACAATATATCAGAAAATATTCGGGCTATATATATGAATAATAAAAATTCTAAAATCGTCCGAAACAGCATATAGTTAATAATATAAATAGCAACTGGCCTAAAAAAGAAACCTACGCAGTTACTGAAAATATAAATTTGTTTATCTCAGTCGAGCTAAAAGATCTGGTATTTTCTCAAATGATTTATGTTACTCTAAGCGTACTCAAAAATTGAATTGTTTTTATTTTGCTCTAACTATATCTGTAGGTATTATAAAGTTATTATAATTAATACTTACATATTTTTTATTAATTTTTTATTTTTTTTTTTTAGTATCAATATAATTTTAATTACACTAATATTAGTATTCATGTTTTATTTATTAGATGTATTCCCATCATTATATTTTTTATAACCATCATCATTCCTATAATTGCTGTTTGTATTAATATGATTGGACTTCACAAACAGTGACAATTAAAAATTGATTGCCACTAAAAAGAAATTTGTTATCATCTGTAAAGTTACAAACTCTAATTGGCAATGAACTAATTAAAATTTAGTTCCATAGATTATGAAAAAATCGTAAGAGTTGGCTTATCAGGCATTGGCTTTATAGTTAGCCTATGTCTAGCCGAAATAAAATTTTTGATATGAATCAGCAAAAAAAATAAAAAAATTGCTAACAGTTTAATACTATCCCATGGTGTTTCCAAAATTAGAGCTCTATGATGAATCATAACAGCCAGAGAGTAAAACAAATTTGAATAGACACAAACATATGTAAATATGTTTAGACATATGTGAATATATGTGTGTACATACATAGGCAAAAACCTATCCACGGGGTACTATTCAAATCAAGAGCAGAGGTCGTGCGTAATAGATTCAACAACTTTTGCGCTTATCAATAATAGCAGAAGCCTGGCGCTATTTCTTTATAGATAGTGTAGTATGTATATGTAGGTATGTAAATATGTATATGGCCACTGAACAATGCCATGCTATTATCTCACTGAAATAAAAGACGGACCCAGAATAAAGACAGCCTTATCAAGCTGATAAAAAGAAAGTAAACGTGAGCGCCGCGTGGCCCCAAGCTCGTACGATTGCCGCTATAATGCGCGCATTATTTAAGAACCCATACGGATATATGTATATGTATATATAGTATTTATAGAAGTATTATACAGATATGATTGACGAACATAACAGATGTACTCATGTAGAAATTTCTGATCTTTGCTCTGTTTGCAGTTACAATGACGAGCCCAACAGCCTGAGTGCGCGCTATTGCCGCCCTCAAGCCGTAACTCTGGCCTCCAAAGCTATGGTCAACAACGCATCCAACGCTGCCCAGGGCCAACAGCTGCCCGCCAAAACAGGTGGCACGCCCCTCGGCGTGGGCAGCCGCTCTGGCCGCAGTTACCTGGAGCGCATGGTCTCTGCCCCAGCGCTCAACACACAGCCTAAATCGTGCCTCAGCCGCAAATCCTGCCTGCACAAAGCCAACCAGCTCCCCAGCATCCCCAGCACAGATGCCGCTCCCACGGAGAGTGCGGAGCCAACAGACGCAAGCAGCGACTCGGACGGTTTGGCCAGCTGCAAGCAAAGGTAAGCTGACTATATGCAGATTGCATAATGTCTCGGTAATCCGAGTCTCGATCCCTTTGACGTCACGTCGCAATGGCGCCGTCGACTTTTTTGACGCCCCCGACCGCAAGTTGAACTAGATTGCGGTTGGGGGCATGTGAACTGCGAGTCTGATTAAAAGTGAAATTCAATAGTAGGAATGTAGACTCGGCCAAGTCGTTTGTGCCAAATTTGGCCAGAACTCAAGAGAACCCAACACACAAATCGAAAACAAATCGAAATATTACGTTTGGTACTCGCCTTATAGATCCCATGGACGTCACAGCGTGCGCATGACGCCGAGGTAGAGTACATAATAAAAGTAGATATACTAGATGCGACATATGCAAATAACCTCAAACGTGTACTCGAAATATCTGATAGCAAAATATGAAATGAGATAACAGAAGGAAGAGAGTTTACAAATCCGGTCATTACCATCTTTAATCTTCCATAGAATTCACCGTGTCAGAGAGTGTTTGTTATGCTTTTAATTTTACTTATATTTTTATTTTTTACATTTAAAAATTCGCTTTCCATTCGCAATGCACTTGAATTTGGCATTTTGAAAACTGGCTATAAATAAAAGAAAAATACGGCGCAACTACACACATCAGTTGGAGCTCATTTTATAGAGATTTTATTTTTGGTGAGGCCATGTCTAGACGAGGCTAAACACCAGCTGATATCACCTAAAAGCAATGGCGACACACGCACACACGCATGCCTATTATCAATGTAAACCAGACACACACAATCACACACACACATGTCTAGTAATGCTTTTTGAGTGAGTGTGTTTACGATTGCGTATTGCACTAATTACATCCACTGCAGGTGCTGAGGTAGTCGAGAGTATGTGACTAGCAGATACCCTGTAGAAAAATGTTAATTTATTTAAGAGTCGGGATTGGTATGGGCTACCTTAACCTTTTATAGACATTGATATTAATGTTCATTTAAAAGTCTACCTTGCATTTCAATATAAAGCGCCCTAGAAGATATTTCTGTATCGATATTTATTGTTGCATACATATATCATTCTTTCAATAGAGATACTTTTATGTGAAACACCCATCGTTCCATCTTCTAGAATCGATATTTATCGATCGTCGTAATCTCATTGAAGAATTTAGATATTTCAATAAGAATCTCGCTGAAAGACCTTCTACATCAATTTGGCGAACTTGAAGCAAAGCCAGTTGACGTTGTGAGTTAAGTAAATATCATAAAAAATCATTAAGTTAAATTTACATTTACATATATTTGTAATGAAACAAAGCTCTTAAAATATTGCGATTCCTTCACCCGTTAATTGTGCTGTCATTTATCAGAATAAGAATTCCACTTCCTTCCACGAGTCTGTCGAGACATGCCACACTTTTAATTAGTTCACTGAGACAGACACGGGCCAGGTCAAGCCAAGGACACAGAACAGACGACAGAATCCACAAAACTAAAAATTTGATAATTGCGCCGTGTCCACTTTTCGGCTATATAAAAAGCATATTTCAAAATACACATGCACATGTACATACATAATTACATGGGTCCATAAGATGTAGATGTAGGCAGTGAGTATTTATAGATAGATTGTGCATGCGCCATTCACGTGTTCCGATGTGCTACAGCATCGAAAAGATTTCAAAAACGAAATCTGTAAATGTGTGTTCCGAATGTAATACACAGCTATGCACATACATAATATATATATATGTATATGTATATATTTATGATTTCGACTAATTATTGTGTCACCCACGTAAAATCTAATTTTGTGCGCTCTCCACAAAGTGTGAGCAATTTGCGTAAGTAAAAGTAAGAGCGCCGAGACTTTAAAGACGGAACCACCTTGTCGTAATTATGAGTTCAAGACTCGGACAAGGCTGTATGTAAAGGTCACCAGACGGACCGTCGGACGCAATATTTGAGAAGGTCATATTCATATAAATGCCTGTTTAGCGGACCTAAGGACTGTCGATAAGCCAACTATGTGTCGGAAAAGGTTTCACCTGAAAAACCTGTCTTATCATTTTCTAAAATTGGAGGCGCTTTTGTAATCCCTTTTTCTCTTTCTTTGTTTTGGAAAACTTGTTTCTCTTACACCATTTTGTGCAGTGCATATTAAGCAGTCGCACGTTATTTTATTGTGCCTGGGCGTCAACCGGACCCATATGCATTTATTTTGTTTTTATTTTGGGGGTAATGCGATCATATATATGGATATGTAAATGAATGCATGCAAGAAGTAGAAGAAGAGAAAACAAGAAAGGAATGTAAACTCGTTTCCATGTCCGCTGCTTCCTCAAGCCAAGCTAGCCTATAAAACCAGCCTGGCAACGGCATGGAAAATGTGCACTGGAAAATCGGAAAAATTATAATCTATTAAATTTGATATGCGACAACGCCGCAGCCACAAATTCAGCAGTTGACACCGGCAACGCGTAAAAAACGAGACAAGATTTCGAGGCGGTGCCCACACAAAGTAGAGACGATCGAACGATCGAATCGATCGCCTGAACATCGAGCAAAAAATTTAAAAAAAGCCAAACCTGTTGAAGAAAATGCAGCAAGCAGGCAGGCAGGCAGACTAGTGCACACGCCTTCAGCGCGTGATCAGCGATCGGCGATCGGCGATCAGCAAACGTTGGCAGCTCGAACAGCCGGCTGTTTGATATTGGCGTCAGACTAATAAACTGATTTAACTTAGCAAATAGCCACAATAGAAATTGTTGGCCACAAAGCGAGAGCGAGAGAGAGAAAGAGAGAGGGATAAACAAACATATTCCTACCATATTACTCTATTTGCTATTCATTAAAGTAAAAATATGTTTAATTACCTTTTAGCATATTTATTGTGTGAAATGCACTTCTTAGACAGTTCTATGGGGCCTGTCGGCTCAATTAGTTCTATGACAAACTTTAATACAAGAAATTTATTGCCTAACAAATTGCTTGATAAATATTAATCTTATCATTGAAATAGACATGCCTTCTTTCTTACAGTTAATATATACATTTATATATATACTTATATCTCTAGTAACTGCAATAGAAAGGTCTGTCTCATCCACTTACGAATTTTAGCAGAGTGTACTTCTAGGGGTATACGAAAAAAAAAAGTATAACGTACTTATCTCCAAATGTAGCAGAAATATGTCGACTTCCTGCCATAAAATAAGATATTTTAATGCAATGTGCTGTCTCCCGTTTATTTATTTGTTTTTATTTTTCTGGATAAAAATCTGGTACGTGGCTACCAAAATAGCACAATATATATACATACATACATATATACAGAAATATTTTGTTTGCGCCTACTTAACTGTGACGTAAAATTAAAAAATTAAATTAAATTAAAAATAAAATAAAATAAACATGAAATTTCTGTCTACATTGTGGAACGGAAAGATATACAAATAATCTCATTAGACGCCAATACAAGCTGACCAGGTCTTTTAGTATACAAGGTTGCCACAAAGATTATAGATTCAAGTGTCTTTTTTTGGGTTCAAATAGGGAAAGAAACGAAATGTTTAAATGCCAAATTATTGGCAATGGGCGGTGACAGCTTCCGATTAGCTCGATTCTCTGCCAACGCAGGTCACAAAGTAACAACAACAACAAAAATATCCCAATTGACTTTGTGTTTGTCAAATTTAAACATCGATTTGCTAAAAATAAAAGAAAGAAATATAAACAAATCAAATGCAAAGTCGCAATTTCAATATTAATTCCAAAAAATAAAGACAATAAACTTGAGTGCATAAAAGTAAAAATAACAATCGTAAAAGACGGGGGGTCCGAAACACGAGAGCTGATAAGGATAGGTTCAAGGCTGCAATGCAAAATCTCTCTCTCTCTCTCTCTCTTTCTATCCCTCTCAATTAGTTAAATATTTAAGAACTTTGGCAGGCAACCAGCTGCTTCAGCTTCAAATCAAATGAAGTCTCTTATCCACTCTCTGTAATCGAATTTTCTATTTTTCATTTTCAGTCACTTGCCCAAAAAGCATGTGATCTTTGCTGACGACGAGGGTCTGTCTTTGACGGAGGTGCGCGTGATGTCCGAGCCCTCGAATGTGCCGCCATACTGGAGCATGAAGTTTTTGGAGCAGATCACACAGGGACTAGTCAGCCCGCATCCGCCGGATCAGTGGACCGTGGACTTTAAGCAGCCAGCATCCGACTATTTGACATTCAGGTAAAATAAACCTCCGCTTCTAATAAAACTTACTTGAACTTACCCATTGACATATTGCTCAACAGACAAAAGATCGAACGTGACTTTGTCTCACTGGAGAATGTCATTGTAAAGGATGAGGAATCGATTGTGGTGGGCACCATCAAGGTGAAGAACATTGATTTCACCAAGGAAGTCATTGTGCGCGTCACCTGGGACAACTGGAAGAGCCAGCAGGACATATTTTGCACATATGCCAGAGCCTACGGCCCCGCCACCTGCGCCCACGTTGTCTTCGATACATTCTCATTCAAGATTACGCTGCCACCATCCTCCAAGCGTCTGGAATTCTGTATTTGCTATCGCACAAATGATAAAGAATTCTGGGACAATAATGATGTAAGTGCCAGGAACAAAATCCAAGAATTATCCAAGTAACATCTCTCCCATCTCTATCTCTTATCAGGGTAAAAACTATACCATCAGCAAACGGTCGCCCTTCTACTACAATGCCCTGTCGCCCTATGATAAGGGTCAAAATCGTAGTTCCAGCCAGCAAATGCGATCCACTTTAACCGATGCACTTGCCAAAGCACAACAGAAGAACTGGACCCAGGAACCAAATACGCCATATTGGTAGAACATATATACATCTATAAACATAGTTAAATATAGTATAGAAGGTCAAGCTAATCGTATAGCTAAGCAGGTCTGTGGCTGGATCGGACACTGGGATCTATTGTGATTCTCCCGATTGTTCGATTGCGCGAGAAATTTGATTAATGTCCATGCCAAATGGCGCTCCACCCAAGAAATCGCCTCTGAGTGTTACGTCCCACAATATTGAGAGCGACAATTCGTAATTTTTCATCGTACCACACCTCATTCATTTTCTTAAGCCAGAATCTGGTAAGGTGCCATTGAGTTGAGGTTTTTTTTCTACATACAATCAAACAGAAACTACTTTTATCTTAAGCACAAATGAGTTTTGCGAAGGAAGAGAAAAGAATATGAAGAAGCTCATTAAATTTCAAGGTCCATATCTATATACCCATATACATATCTCCAAAATATTTGTTGTAGTCCGTTTGATTGTGTCACGATATCGATATCAATTTTTATTTTCTGTACTCTTATGTTTACCTGTATGCCTGTGTGATTGTCTACCATCTAAACTGATATTAGCTTAAAAACGAAACAGCTCAAGTAATAATAAATTTAAAAAAAAGAAAAATTATAAAAAAAAGCGTGAGTTATCCTAGCAAACCATTGTTTCGAAATTCTCTTTATATGCAAATGAAGAAACAGAAAAACAARAACTCTAAAAGAATATACAAAAATTTAGTAATTAAGATTTTGCACAGAAAATTTTATAAGATTTTTTTTTTTTTGTTAATTATTATTTTGGTTATTTGAAACTCTAAGACTGAAATGGCTTGTTATGGAAAACACGTCCTCATATAAAAACACGTCATAATAAAATAATACATATACTACAAGTCAAAACATGATTCGAAACATCACTCATAATAAATGATCTGTGTCTCTAAATGTTTTCATGCGTGTCAACCCGACTTTGAAACTTAGAAATTAAGCGATTTGTACATAGAACGTATATATCTATACTTGCATATATAAACAGATATGTGTATACAATATAGATAGATCATGCACCAGAAAATTGCCTGTTAAATACATTTATACATTACCTACGCGTTTAGTTTTGTAAAAATACCTAGCTCTAGTGCCTAGCGGTTATTTAATTATAAGCCCCAATACCACTTCCCGGCTTCTTAACAGCTGACGAGAAAAACTAATTCTCTTCTAGAAAACTTAATGATTATTTAGTTTTTAACAAACGCCAACTACAACCCAATATATGTACACAGAGAAATTATGATACAACGAACCAATATGTTACATAATTATTTTCAATGATTAAATATATATTTAAAAAAAAAAAAGAAAAAGATATACAATTGTATTTATTTCAAATGCTTTAACCCAGATTGTATGCTATTCCTGGAGCTAGACTAGTTATTGGTGAGCTATTTAAGCATATTAATATTTATGTATACCATGAAAAGAAAAAATTACCGTTCAAAAAAAGGTATAGTCATGGTGTACCATACCAAAGTACAGATATTTTTATTACTGAAATTTCTTACCTAATACTTATTATATTAATTCATGAAAAACAAGATTAGCCAAGCTTATACATATATTCATTCCGATTTGTCTGTATGCATATTGTGAAAAATATGTATGTACCACATAGTATATGTTTTGAAGAAGGAATCCTTAGACCAAATCAAAATGTAGTATTTACTGTAGTCCACGAGCTAATATTTGAGGTGAAAGTTATAGTTTTAGCTGAACGGAACTATAAAATTATTCGCTTGGTACTGAGATAGTTCATCCTTTGACTTGATAGACTTGACTGATAGACTTCTGAATGGAGAAGAATGGAAGATTATATACCTTTTATTAAACCGACATTTCAAGTTCGCACTCTTAAGAAATTCTTTTACATATTAGCTAAAACTGAAATCGTAAATGAACTTCAAATATCAGCAACATTTCCGGTTAGGTTCACGGGTTATCTGAAAGGTAAACTGTCTAATATACTGAACAAACTGCGTTTCGTTAATGCAACTGCCAAATGCGCAAATAAAACTCAAATATTTACTGTTGTTTGTATTTTTTAGTTTATTCAATGTCTGTGGAATTTTCTATGCGGCAATTAAGCGTTGTATTATATTATCTATTACATACCATATTCTGTAAATCGGTAATTATCATTGAGTTTGGAAAAACAACATACAAATAGATATCGAATACGAAAGACATTTTAGGGTATATGTAGGCTTATCAACGTAAACATACATATGACCACTAATAGTATGAATGTAGTTTTGGAATGGAGTACATTATAATTAGTTTAGATAAATAATTAGTTTTCTTGGAATCATTATGAAAAATCTTCAACTAGTAACATCGGAATGCATGATAGCCGAGAGTTGATTATAAATAAAATGCGAATCAAATGCACACGCATTGAGAATTAAATTAATATATGGTATGTTATCTTCGCTAACTCATTAATTTAGATTTGCCGTCCCGTTTTATACTATTGGGTTGATCTTGAATTTGAATTAACCTTAATTCAAAGATTTAGTTTTTGCTTTCATTGTTTTCGGTAATTATGAGCCATTTACTTGTTCTTCTCCTTGGCCTTCAGGCTGGCGGGCATCTCTGGTGGTGGTGGGCGGGGAATACCCAAAGCTACTTTGACGCCGTCATAAATGAACCATTGCAAGGCAGTGAGTGTACCAATCATAATGATACGTGGTGTCAATCCATTCCACATGCCCATGAAGCCCAGCGACTTGACAACGCTTCCGGCGCTGGCACCCTTGCTCTGGTTCAGCTTGGAAACGACCACATCAGCTGGATGCGACACAACAGCGCAGAACACGCCAGCAATATAACCAGCGGCAAAGGTAACTATCAATTGTTCACCCTTAGAGCACTCTGTACGTGGCTTGGGCACCACATATCTGCCAATCAAAACAAAAGTGTGTAAATTCAGCAAAATTCCCAACGTTCATATTGTCCTACTCACTTATAGAGAAGCTCCACAGTACGCTCGAAGCACGCAAACTTCATCATGGTGTATGGGATCTGACGCATCCACAATGGCACCAAACCCTTGTAGAAAGCTCCGATGCCCTCTTCCGACAACATCTTTGGTACTGCTTCACGGAATGTGTTAGCAAAGCCGGGAACTGTCTGAATCTTAACCTTGGCCGCCTCGAACGGAGCCAGCGCAATATCAGCGAATACCTCAGCAGATGCCGATGCGGCAAGATAGATGTAGGTGCGATACAAATATGCATTCTCCTCGCCAAGGATATCGGCGTACTTAATTTTGAACACCTCATAGAAACCGAACTTGCAGAGACCCTGAAATGTATACATCAATGCACGTGAGTGATTTAACGATTATTGATGTTATGTAAGCGTTAAGACAGTTACCTGCAACGAGTATCCAATCAAAGTTGGGAACCAGCCCTTGGCCAGACCAACAGCACCTTCCTCAGCTACCGTGACCTTGAAGCCATGAACTAGATTCTTATACTTGGCTGGGTCCACCTGCAAGCGACACTTGACCAAATCCAATGGCACCACAAATGTGTGAGTGGTACCACAACTCAAAATGCCACCAATACCACACAGCGCAAAATATTTGTTGCTGCCAAACTCACAAGAATCCGTTGACGCTGCTGCTGCGGCCGCGATCTCACGTCCAACAACGGGGCCAGACTGTCCTACCGCAGGATAAGCCGACAACTGGCCGACAGCTTTGCCCTCATCGCACTGGGCTTGGCTGAATGGCGTTTTGAATGGCGAATTTTTAGCGGCTTGAAAAAAAGACGAGAACATATTGTCTTTTTTTTGTGTCTACTATTGCGTCCGAGCTGCAAAGAGCAGAGGAAAATGCAAAATTAGAGAAGGTTTTTATAACTAAATCTGCTTCTGCGCGATTAGCGAATTTTCACAGCGTTCACCGTTCACCGTTCACTTGTGAGTTACATAATGTGTCATGCACATCTAAGTATCAATGGTTGCTTGTTGGAGACAATTGGCTTACATTTTCTCAATTCAATGAAAACTAAAAATTTGAACACAAATATCCTATCTATTTGAGCATGTGATTTATTTCTCTTACGCAATTAAAATTACATTTTATTTTCTCACTTACGTAGTGGCCGTCCGTGGCGTGGCGAGGAATAAGATTCAAAGAATGAGCTGTAGTGTGACCGCAAACTGCAATTGCAAATATACCAAAAGGTCGGAAAGAAAAATACCAAGCTTGGCTTTTAAAGCAAAAAACCGGTCGGAGGGGCAGCAGATTCGTCAAAATATGTAGGTCAGTGACAATAGTTGGATTGCGGATTATCTATTCCCCGAATTATGGATCGTCTAGAATTTAGCTCCACAGTGAACAAAAGGATTCAGGCTTCGGTCGCAGGTAAAGTGTTATTGGTTTGTACTAATATAAATACAATTTACATTTCAAGGAATAGCAAGCGATGCTCTACGCCTCGTGCAACCAGCCGTCTCAAGCATTCAACATAAAATAAAAACAGACTTACACGAGTGTAACATTGATATCTGTTGATACTTTTAATACTTATCGATAACATAAACGATGAAAGGCTTTGATGACTTACGCGCCCAACTTCGCATTTAAAATGTATAGCAATATATAAATTGGAATTTGTACTCAAAAAATATTAAAATCATTCTAGACCATCAAACTTTAGAAATAATAATATAGCTGCATCATTGCATCAAATATAAAGCACACCCTACGACCTTTTGTTGTTCTTAAATATATTATTATAATAATATCAATATAATAGATGAGAAGACCCTCAGCTTGAATTTATTATTTAAATGAACATATATAGTCACACTGAATAGCCACACATGATCTATTGATTTTTTTTTTAAATTGTGAGTATATTGCGCGCGATATAAGGGTAATAACATATGCACAAATATTTATTTATGTAGTTTAAGTTTTTAAGTTTAAGTTTTTAAAAGTATGCTACAGAAACGGTTAAAAGCTTTACCAACAGTGAACAAGAAAAGCTTTCATGCAACAGCGCTTTCTGCTGTTAATAGTTAAGTTGCTGCTGCTGTTAACAGGTGGTTCGACTTCGTGGATGTTAACAGGCCGCTGAGATAAAACAGTTTATTTGATTAAGCAGACATTTAATTACGCGGTTAACACGTTGCCAAACAAACGCTAGCATAGAATATAAAGATGATGTCAGTACTTAAACAGTGATGGACATCATTTACCATAAGGGTCAGCCCGCGAACCGCTCCTGAACAAGTGCTTGTTGCTTCAAATATTGCCGCCTGTGTTGTCTTTGTCGTCATCTTTGTCGTCGTTGTTTGGCTGTCGGCGTGCGAAACGCCGAACGGCCATTCAGTAGCCGTTAAAACGCGTCGCAGTGCGGCAGGAAGTTGAGTATACGACGCGTTGCCTCGTATTCAAAGTTAAACTGAAATAACTTTGATGTCTGCTTGCCAGAGCGAAGCGCGCCTTTTTGAAGTTAGCCTTTCCTTGGCGTCGCAAGGTGTTAATTGGTTACGTTTAAATTTATTTCAAAGAATTTATAAATAAGGTCCATAGTGCACGCAGGATTTCTCCGAAATAATGTGCGCGCGTTATATGCGAAACCGAGCCTGAATTCAAATTCTCTGCATAATTAAAGAAATTAATTTGAGTGAAGTTTTGACAAATTGAATTAAAAACTAATTATTTGCCCAGTTAAGCCCGTCGGAAACTCAATTAGCTCAAAAATAAAGTAAATATAAAAAATTGAGTAAGTGTAGAGTGTGAATAATAAAAATATATTTGAGATTTCAAAATACTCGTGAAAAATATATAAATATTTATATGCAAAATAAAAGTAATACTAGTGCGATGTAAGAGTGTTGATTTATTAAAAATTTAGTTAGTGTATAAATATATGTACTTATTTAATATATATATAAAATATAAAACAATTACAACAAATCATGTAGGAAACCGCATATACTATGGATTCAAAGTAGGTATTTTTATTAATAAATATTCATTTAAATATTCTCAAATATAGCGAATACCCCGGACTCTGAGAATTTTTCCAGTTCTCTGGCAAATCTGGCAAAATTTGATTAGCCTAAAAACCATAAAAAGTAAACAGTTTTCAACACGGACTTTCAGATTTGTTTGCCAAAAATTCTGGTGATAAAAAATATCAAATCAAAATCAAATAAAAAAAGTTTTTTTGGCCAACCGTAGGAAAAATCGAATCGAATCAAGCATGACCTATTAATGTCACGTCCGGTGGGAGCCAGGGAAGAGCTAACAACTTTTGGGTCACGTTTGACATTTGGCCAAACAAAATGATGGAAACCAAACTCTAGTAGCCAAGACTTGCACATCCGCAGACACGCAGGCCAGTTGTATATGTGTGTGTGTGTATGTGGGTGTATGTACTAGAAGCTCAGCAACTACAGCAACATTTCGGACGCGCAGCAATTAATTAAAAAGTTTCAACGCGCCCAAATCAAATCAACAATATTCGCAGGTATTTTAGCGTCAATCAAGCTGGAGTTCGAGTACGAGTCCGAGCTCGCGTTCCCGTTCCTCTTCCCGTTCGAGTTTGGGCTAAAGATTTAGTTGACTCATTTAGTAGTAAACAGTAGCTCGCCGGATCGATGGATGGGCTCGAATGAAAATCAATGCGCATTACTGCAGCCTCGCTGCGCCCCAAAACCAGCGGCCAACCCGGCAAACTTGGCAGTAACGAAAATACATTCAATTTTTAAATACAATGCGCCGCGGGGGCTGGTCGACCAGGCGAGGCGATGCGATGCCATGCGAATGCTATGTCGTCTGGCTGAGGATTCGCCACTCTTGGCCAGCTCTTGACCCCAAACCCGAGTCCAAAAATAGGCGCATTGCCATGCCATCGTACACTCCTTGATTATTTTTAAGCTGCGCTAAAAATTTGCTGCGTAAAATTTTCAAAATATCTCGAAATTGCTTCTAATTATAATTAAACTAACAAAAAGATTTTATGTTAACAGATATTTGTGGCGAAAATATAAATTTGCTGCATAATCATTTCATTCATTGACCAAGTCAAAAGAATATTGATATATGTATGTCTGTCTGCCTCTGCAAAAAGAAAACTAAATGTGGCATTTTTAATGACAACAAAAAGGGAACATATAATCAAATAAATCTTTAGGAGGAATATACAAATACTTCAATTTTAGTTGTGTTTGAGCTTTGAACGAGAATGAGGCAGTTGGTTGAGCCCGACTGCAACTTCCTTAATAGTTTAGGTGCCTTATAAAAGGTTTATTAAACTTAAATATATAAATATAAATATGCATAAATAAATATTTATATCGAAATGTTTGATAGTTTTTCTGTATTGCCATTTAATTTGAGTTAACTAACTTGGTAAGAAACATTTCCCACAAGTCGCAACTATGCGAAACTCAAAAGAAATACACAAAATAGATGAAGAAGAAGGAAAAAAAAACAACAAAGGCCAAGTCTGCGGACACGCCTTTGGCTAATTGTCTACGTGGATGTATGTCAGCAAGAGTGTGTGTGTGTGTGCGTGTGTGTGAGCGTGTGTGTGTTTGTGTGTGGCTCTATGTCATAATCAAGTGAATGCCTCGCAATAATTTAACACGCAAGTCCTGTGTCCTGTTGTCGAATGACTAATGGCTATGACTAGGAATCGGGACGACAAGAATTCAAATGCGACTGCTGCAGTTCTTAATTAGCCATTTGGCGCATTATGTCGGTCGTAGGCATGTAATCGCATAAACTAGAACACCTGCTAGATTAGTTTAACTCAAACTGAGCTCGGCCTACATAATCAACTGCCACGAAACGTGTACGAGCAGACGCCAGTCAAACTTTATTAAATGCTAGACTTATGATACGTTTAAATAGCATTCGCTTTATTGTGATTGACCTGAAGATACCCAGCAAAGTATTGGCGAAAGATTCGTAATGGGTCTACGAGAATTTCTTTGTTTGCAAGAGAAAAACTATTTTTTTAGATGGAGATCTTAGCCTATCTTAGCTTATAGATTTATAGACATAATATATTGAGATATGATATTCTGACTTTATTATTATTTTTATACTTGGTAAATAAGATAATGATACTCTATACTATATAAACTTAGTTATCTTGCCAGCTTATCACTACGACTAAGATTATATAACCTATTAAAAATCTATATAGATCAAAGATTTTTCCTTCGGCTATTCACTTTTGGAAAACTAAATCTTCAGTAGCAAATCCTAAATTCTATACACGTTCTGTAACTCGAGTCTTAAGTAGTTTGAGGCTTTGACGCTAAAATATGCCATTCAGCTGTATAAATCAATGTTTATGAATTTAGAAGTAGTTTCTGTCGGATGACAAGTGCATGACAAAGTGTCAGACACTAGTCGCAGACTCGGGGCAAATCATCCGTCACTCGTGACGCAGGGTCACAATCACATTTTCGAACAGCCTTGACATTGACGTGTCTTGCGAGATGCCAATGCGGAGGCGTTGGCGGCTGAGGATGGGGATGAGGTTGAGGATGAGAGGGGAATGAAATATGTTTCATTCGTGTCATTCGTGAACAAGCTGCTGTTGTTCCCATGATTGAATCAATCAATAAGACGCATGCCGAAGGCCAAAGAAATGGACTCAAACGGACTTGGCTGCAGGCCAATACGAAGGTTGATCAGAGCACAGAAATAATAAAAAGAACGAAAGAACAAAAAAAAACCTGTTGAGTAAATTCCTCAACGGGTAAAGCACTAATCAAACTGCATTTCAATATGCCATAGCTGCGGGAATATGAATGCAATATGCCATGGCATTTAATGGACTCATTCACGCACCAATCACATGCAATTTAATTCAATTCAAGAGCAATTCGAACACTAAACAATGCTCAATTGTAGCACAAAGCATTGAAACTCGACATCGTAAATATATTGAGAAACCGAGAGAGAGTGAGAGAGGAGGATAGAGAGCGTGGCCCTCTCAGATGTACATTGAAATCGGCCCAGGCATCAATGTTGGAAACGAAGCTGTTAGAGCGTGTCATATGGCATAGACTCATAAGCCACGTGTCGCTAAGCAGCTCAGCGCAACAGGCAACAGTTAACAGGCAACAGACAACAGGCAACACGAGCTGTAAGAGATGCCCTGCAAACGATATGATAATAAACAATGCTGTCAGCTAC